AAGATGTCGACGAGCTTCTGCAGCTCGGTGCGCGCCAGGATGTCGACCTCGGTGCGGTTGCCGTAGACGAGCGAGATGTCGAGCGGCCGCAGCGCCGCCGCGCTCCCCGCCGTCTTGGCCAGCAGGTACTCGTCGGCGATGGCCTTGAGCGTGCTCCAGATGGGCGTGATGCCGCTACCGCCCGCGATCATGGCCAGCCTGCGCACCGTGCGGACGCGATCGCTCGGCTTCCACCGGATGCGGGCGTCGCCGAGGTACGTGAACGAACCCAATGGGCCCTTGAGCTCGATCGTCACCGGGTCCTCGCCGTCGCCCTCGCCGTCGCCCGCGCCGCCGTCCAGCGGGATCGTCTCGAGCGCCATGGTCATCTTGCCGCCCGCGAACGCGTCGCCGTCGCTGCTGGGCGGCGGGACCGTCGGGGGGAAGTAGACCTTGATCAGGATGTCGAGGAAGCCGAGCTGCTCGTCGCCGCTGTACGGCGTGTAGGCACGCTGGATCGTCTCGATCTCGCCCGTGGCCGGGTTGCGGCGCTTGACGCGGAGGAAGACGTGCTGGCCGACGGGGAGGCCGCACCTCTGCGCCTCGTGGCCCAGCGCGAAGCGGAAGATGCGCGAGTCCGGCGAGACGATCGTCTTGCTCACCAACCTCGTCTTCTTCCAGCGCTTCGGCTCCAGGAACGGCCTCGAAGATTCCTCCTCGGCCTCTTCCTCTTTCGCCAGCCCGTCGACCGTCCTCTCGTCCGCTGTCAAGGCCTCGAGACGCCCGAGGTGGAAGTCGCGCATCATCTTCTTGGCGTCGATCGAGTGAATCGCCATGAAATCCTCGGTGGCATCGTCGCCCGCTACGAGGCGGATGCTCTGGTCGCCGCCGGGATGGTCCTTGAGGAAGCCCGTACCTTCGTACACTTCGCCGTTGACGACGAACCAAGGCTCCGCACCTTCTGGATCTGAGTGCTGGGCGAACTCGGCGGCCGAGACGGTACGGCTGGCCTTGGCAGGGTCCGTCATGAGAGCGGCGATGTCGAGCGCCGGCTTCGCAGCCTTGCCGTCGGCCGCCACTGCCGCCGTCGATTCTTTGGCGCCCGCAACGCTGCCTGCTGCTTCGGCCGACGTCGAGGCGTCTCCGAAGACAGGGTAGCGTGAACTGGCGCCGGCCTCGTTAAGCCGCTGCATCCACCCGCCAGGTGCGTTGCCGGCGAGGGTGGGGTGCTCGAAACGGACGCTCTTGCCGTCCTCGCTGCGGTGGACGGCGACGCGGAACCACCACGAGTTCATCATCGAGGTGGCGTTCCAATACATGTCGCGCGGCATGGTCTGCAGACTCTCGTCCATGGCGCGCACCGAGATGACGCGGACGTCGTCGTCGATAATCTGCCGGCGCAGCTCGACGTCGAGGCGCCAGAAGCACCACGAGAAGCTCATCTCGGTCTGGCTCAGGTCGAGCGTGCCAAAGTACGGGTGGCCCTGGACGGGAAACATGCGGTAGAGGTCCTCGGGGTAGTCGACCTCGGCCAGCTTCCACGACTTGCCGTCGTCGAGCGACACTTCGACGCGGGTGATGCGACGCCCGCCGCCCGTGTAGGCGTAGCCCTGTATCGGCAGCATTTGCGGCGGCGGCGGCGGCGACGCCTGCTGCTCGGCATCGTCATCGCTCTCCCGCAAGTGCACCACCTCCTCGTGATCCGGCGAGCAGACGGCGGCGTTGACGTTGAGCTCGTTGATGATGTACTTGGGGTCGTACCACCACTTGTCCTCGTTGCGCGCCTGGTCGGCCGAGACCTCGGTGGGGAGTAGCTTGTTGTCGAAGAAGTGCAGGTGGTGCTGCGACTCGCGGTCCGAGACCTCGATGCGGTTGAGCCACTTGACCATCCTGCCTCCGATCTGACCGGGAACGACGAGGCGCAGCGGGTAGCCGTGGTCCGGACTGAGGTCCTCGCCGTTCATGCCCCAGGCGAGCAGCATGCCCTTGGAGCGATCCGTGCACCAGTGCAGGCGTTGCGAGGTGCCGTAATTGCCCTTGGGCAGCTGATCGGCGCCCTCGAAGACGACGTGGCGCGCTCGGCCGGGCACGGGGGTGTCGTAGGATGGGAACGACGAGTAGAGCGGGTTCTTGGGCCGGCAGTACTCGAGCACGTCGGCAAGGTAGACGCCGGTGAAGAGGCCTGTCGAGACGCCCGCCGCGCCCCAGTTGAAGCCCAGACCCTTGGCGACCATGTTCTGCTCCTTGCGCCGATTGCCGGCGCAGACGAGCGTGATGGGCAGCGTGACGGTGGCGAACTTGTCCTTGAGATCCTGGATGCTGAATGTGAACTCGTTCTCGACGAGGCCGTGGACCCGCAGCTTCCACTCGGCGGCCTGGTGGGCCGTGACGCGCGGCGTGTCGCCGTGGCTGCGGACGTAGAAGAGGTTCTGCGGCGTTAGGAAGCCCTTGTTGAACAGCGTCGCCAGTGGCGGCTCGGTGTTGAAGGGATGCTTGCCCGTCAGGCGGATCAGGCGCTCGTCTCGTGGGATCCAGCCGTCTGGCGTGTTGGCGTCTGCGGCGAGCGGCTGTACGGCCTCGGTCTGGGGTATCTTGGGGAGCACGGTCTCGTCGTACACGGGCCGAGGCGCGAATGGGTCGACCGTGACGAGCTCCGCATGGTCTTTTGGCTCGAGGATAGGGCTCGAGGGCTCTGGCGTTGTGAGGTGCGAGGTCGACGACGACGAGGAGCTCGACGAAGCGTCGAATTCCCGCCCGCGGATCGACGATGCCGACGAGGAAGGCGTCGAGGATTGCATCGTGGGTTGTTGCTCTGGTACAGGTATGGACTTGTCGTGAACGTCGATGTGTTGGTTTGGTGAGCAACAGCGGCAAAGTTGGATGAGATCGATGCTCGAGGCGCTGGCTTCTGCTGGAGGGTGATGGTGGAGCAGAGAAGGGATGGCAAGAAGCGGGGTACGAGGGCAGCACTGACTAGATGGCCTGGGGTAGCGCGGGGAAGCTGATGCCGCAAGCAGATGGTCTTAGAAAGCGGGGAAAGGATCGGAGGCCCCTCTGGCGGGCCGAGTGCCACGATGGCGAGGAGGTCGCGGCCGTACATGGGCTGTCAGAGGCAGAGCTAGAGTGCAGACCGGCGGCCCGTCAGCAGCAGCCTGACGATGGTTTCTGTCGGGCCTAAGCGGTCGGGTTGAAGGCGACCGCGATGTGATTGCGATTGCGATTGCGATTGCGATTGCGATTGCGATTGCGATGACGAGCCCGGCCGAGGGCAAAGGGGAAGGCTGCCGTCGGGACGCCGATTAGATGGCATGAGGGGCTGGCGGACCAATCAGCTCGCCGCGATGGTAGCCAACAAGGCCCGGCCGACGGCCAATCGCTTGCATCGTGATTTGAGATTTAGCACGGCGGCGGCGCCAATGTCGGCGCTGGTGCGACGGACGGGTGTCGTGTAAGGGCTAGGGCGATAAGGAACGCCGAAGGCGAGGCGCGGGTCTCGGTTGATGGGAGCGGCGGTGCTGGCTGATGATGGACAGCGAGCAGAAGCTTCGATGGCAGCAGCGAGAGGGACCCAGGCGCCAAACACGCTCGGCGCGCTGCGGGCTGAGGCGAGGAATGTCTACGGCGGTTAGGCTGGCCGCGGTGCCGGTCCGGCCCAGGAGATCTGGATTGCCACCCAAGAAATCCGTTTCGACCATTTTCTATTTCTGGACGCGGCCGACGTGCGACGGGACGCCTGACGACGCCACAAAGAGAGAGATAAGGAGATAAGCGCGCCTGCCCATTCTTATCTGCCCGCTTCCTTCCCACCTCGTCCATCGTCCATCGTCCAATTAGCATCCTCTGATAACCACCTCGCAAGCCAAGGCGGACTTCGTCTAGACGAAGACGGTACGCTGCCACGCTCACCCACATCGCACCCGCCTGCCATCTCCGCAATCAGGCCACGATGCCGCCCGGCGTCCATGCCCGTGGTCTTATCAGCTGCGGCATCTTCCGCTTCAATTGCGTTGCATGCCTGCCAGCCGGCGCCCCGCCTTCGCCGACGGCACTTTGATCCCTGTTCTGCTTCGCTCCCTCGTCTGCCAGCAATCTGCCCTGATCCTTCCGTGAAGACCCGGTGCGGGGAAGCCGGCACCAGAGGGCCCGTCCGCTCAGGTCAAGACTGGCGCCTGCTCGATGTGCTGGGGCAACAAAACTCTCGACGACTTCGTCCGAGGAAGTTCTCAAACGACAACCACATCCCACCTTCTCGCCTCTCTACACCTTGCCAGGCGCCACTTCACGGCCAACGACTCCGGCGCCAGCCTCTCCCAGACCTAAGGTTCCTCTTTCCCCGGCCAGACACTCCGGCACATCCACCGCCGCACACACAGCTGTACAGCAAACATGGCGCCAATTCCAACAGAAGTGGCCTACACGCCCACCGACTCGCTCTCACATTGTTGCTCGAGCTCCGAATCCGGCATCGACAATGCACCCCTCACAAGAGCGACAACACCAGACTCGTCCGCCTCGTCGGTCGCAGGCAGGAGGAGGCACGCCGTCGTCGTCGGCCTCGGCATGGTCGGCATCGCCTTTGTCGAGAAGCTGCTCAAGTACGACCTCGAAGGCGGCCGCGAAGAGTGGCAGGTGACCGTCATCGGCGAGGAGCCCCACATCGCCTACAACCGCGTCGGACTCACCCAGTACTTTACCAACCGCAGTATCGAGGCGCTCTACCTCAACCCGCTCGCCTGGTACTCGTCGCACGCCAAGGGCAAGCTCACATACCACACCTCGGACCCCGCAGTGGCCATCGACGCCGAGGCCAAGGTCGTCAAGACGGCAAAGGGCCTCGAGATCGAGTACGACGAGTGCATCCTGGCCACCGGCTCCGACGCGGCATTGCCACCCTACATCTCGCGCAAGCGCTTCTTCGAGACCAAGGGCACCTTCGTCTACCGCAGCATCCAGGATCTCGACGACATCATCGGCTACGCTCAAGACGCACCAAGCACGCTCGGGCGGCGCATCCGCAAGGCGGCGGTCATCGGCGGCGGCCTCTTGGGCCTCGAAGCTGCAAAAGCGCTCCTCGACCTCGACGAGGTCGACCAGGTGGTGCTGGTCGAGCGCAACCGCTGGGTGCTCAGCCGGCAGCTGGACCAGGAGGGCGGTACCATGGTGCTCGACAAGGTGCGCGACCTCGGCGTCGAGGTCCTCCTTCAGGCGAGGGTGCGCGACCTTCAGTGGGACGGGACGGACCGCCTCACTGGCATGGTGCTCGAGGCCAAGGACGGCAAGCCAGAAGAGGTCTTTGAGGTCGACATGCTCGTCTTTGCCGTCGGTATCAAGGCGCGCGACGAGCTGGCCACCTCCATCACGCCCTACTCGCCCGCCATTCACAAGCGCGGCGGCGGATTCGTGGTCGACACCCGCCTCAGCACGTCGATCCCGCACCTCTACGCCATTGGCGAGTGCGCATCCTTCCTCGACCAGACCTTCGGCCTGATCGCGCCCGGCGTCGAGATGGCCGAGGTGCTCGCCTTCAACCTCACCGAGGGCCCGCATCACAAGCTGCGCGACATGAAGGCGCCGGACGTCAGCACCAAGCTCAAGCTGATGGGCGTCGATGTGGCCTCGTTCGGAGACTTCTTCGCCGACCAGGGCAAGATCAGCAAGCCGCTCCCCTCGGCCGGCCGGGCCGCTGCAAGGAAGGGCGCCATCGCCATCCCGCCGCCCGAAGAGGTCAAGAAGCAGGTCAAGGCCCTCACCTACCGCGACCCCTTCTCGGACGTCTACAAGAAGTACATCTTCACCGCCGACGGCAAGTACCTGCTCGGCGGCATGATGGTCGGCGACGTAAAGGACTACATCAAGCTCGTCAGCCTCACAACCAAGGGCATGGCGATCGAGAAGCCGCCCGCCGAGCTCATCGTCGGCGCCAAGAAGGAGGGCGAGGACGAGGGCGCCGACCTGCCCGACGACGCCCAGATCTGCAGCTGCCACAACGTCACCAAGGGCATGGTGGTGCAGTGCGTCAAGGACGGCGGCATCCGCTCCTTTGGCGAGATGAAGGCCAGCACCAAGTGCGGCTCCGGCTGCGGCGGCTGCGTGCCCCTCGCCACCAGCATCTTCAACAAGGCGCTGAAGGAGGCCGGCGTCGAGATCTCCAACCACCTCTGCGCTCACTTCGCCTACTCCCGCCAGGAGCTCTTCCAGATCGTCAAGTTCAAGAAGCTCAAAGACTTCTCGACGGTCATGCGAACGGTGGGCAAGACGCCCAACAGCCTCGGTTGCGAGGCGTGCCGGCCGGCGGTGGGCAGCATCCTCAGCTCGCTCTACAACGAGTGGATCATGCAGCCCTCGCTGCGGCAGACGCAGGACACCAACGACCGCTACCTCGCCAACGTGCAGCGCGACGGCACCTACAGCGTGGTCCCCCGGCTGCCGGCGGGAGAGGTGACGCCGGCCGGCCTCAAGGCGATCGGCGAGGTGGCGGACAAGTTCAAGCTGTATACCAAGATCACCGGCGGCCAGCGTATCGACATGTTTGGCGCCAAGAAGCAGGACCTGCCGGCCATCTGGGAGATACTGGTCGACGCCGGCTTCGAGAGCGGTCACGCGTACGGCAAGGCGCTGCGCACCGTCAAGTCGTGCGTCGGCAGCACGTGGTGCCGGTACGGCGTCGGAGACTCGGTCGGCCTGGCGCACGAGCTCGAGTCGCGCTACAAGGGCATTCGCGCGCCGCACAAGTTCAAGGGCGGCGTCTCGGGCTGCGTGCGCGAGTGCGCCGAGGCTCAGGGCAAGGACTTTGGCCTGATCGCCACCACCAAGGGCTGGAACGTCTACCTGGGCGGCAACGGCGGCGCCAAGCCGCGCCACGCCGAGCTCGTCGCCGAGGACGTGACCAAGCGGCAGGCCATCAAGATCCTCGACCGCTTCATCATCTTCTACATCCGCTCGGCCGATAAGCTCGAGCGGACGGCGAGGTGGATCGAAAAGTTCCCCGGCGGCATCAAGGGGCTCAAGGAGGTCATCGTCGACGACAAGCTGGGCATCTGCGCCGATCTGGAAAAGGAGATGGAGGTGCTGGTCGGCACCTACCACTGCGAATGGACCAACGTGGTCAAGGATCCGCTGCGCAAGAAGGCCTTCAAGCAGTTTGTCAACACCGACGAGACCCAAGCGGTCTCGGAGATGATCACCGAGCGCGAGCAGCAGCGGCCGGCCGACTGGCCCGTCGACAGCAGCCCGCTTCGCTTCAGCGTGCTCGACGTGGCCAAGTCGGCGCCGTGGGAGTTCCGGCCGGTCTGCCGCCTCTCGGACCTGGACAGGCAGGACGACTCGCCGACGAGCGCCACGATCAAGTACGGCGACGTCCAGATCGCCGTGTGGAACATCCCCGGGCGCGGTCTGCGGGCGGCGCAGAACATGTGCCCGCACCGGCGCGCGTTTGTGCTCAGCGACGGCCTGATCGGCGAGGACGCAAAGGGGCGCGACTACGTCTCGTGCCCGCTGCACAAGCGCAACTACCTTCTCAGCGCCAAGTCCGACGAGGAGGGCGGCAACTGCACCAACGACGGCGACTACTCGATCATGACGTTCGAGACCAGGGCCGACGAGGAGACCGACACCGTCTACCTCCGACTCCCGCCCACCGACGCCCTCGACGCCGTCCTCTCGACGTCCAAGTGGATGCTGAGGAAGGCCACCGAGGAGTCGGACCTCATCGCCGGTGGGCAGTCGCACTCGATCGAGATCACCGGCCCCCTCAGCGACGCCGAGACGGCTTCCAAGCAGCGCCCGTCCTCGTCCGACTCTCAGCCCTCTTCTTCTTCGCCGGCTGCGCCAAAGAAGGCGTCTTGCGGCGAGAGCGCCCTAGACTGGTAGCCCTGTCCTTTGCATCCCGCCTTTGTTCTCGTCGCTCTGCCATCCCCGTGAAGCCCTCTCTCCCTTTGTCCGTCCTCGTGGTCCCGACGTCACCTAGCAATCAGACTCCATGTGTACATAGCGCCTCGCCCTGCACCGCACGCAAGCACAAACAATCTCATACCGCCTCTGATCCCTTTGTACAACCCTCCCCGCGAGTTCCGGCCAGTCTCCAGAGGTGGCTGAGAACGCCGGATTGAGTCAAGTCCCCGAGCGCTCCTGGGCATCCGATCGCGGGCCCGGCGAACCGGCTGCCTTATCTCTGACTCCGACCCTCTTCCGACGAAGGACGGGAAGCCAGGAGCGCACTAGATTGACCTTGCGGTACTGCACCTCGCCCCTGCTGCCTGCACGCGCAGCGCTGCGATCCGGTGCGACCCGACTGACAGCGAGGCGAGGGCAGGGGCGAGGGCAGGGCCAAGGGCGATAAGGGAAATTGCAAATTTCTGGGTGCGGCTGGTAGGCGGTCAGATAGCGCGCGCCGCCGGTTTGCCGTGCCGAAGCCGCACCCGGATCTTTCCTCGGTGCGCCTGCTTATCTTTTTGCGCCCTGCCCCGTTCCCGCCAGACCGCCTGCTGAGCGCCTAGGCTGTAAGCAAGCTCCCCTCGGCGTCGGCGCTAAACAGGGCAGGTGAGTCGAAGCACGACTCTGGCCCTTTCCATGCACGAGGGGCTGGTTCAAGGGCGTTGTTGATCGTCAGCAGAAGGCAACCTCGAGCAGCGGCGGCGTGAAAGGTGACGGCGCCGAGGTCGAGGGATCATCGGAGGAGCAATCGAACCAGACATCTTATCGCGGGCTGGTTTGAGGCGCTTCGTCAGGGGCAAGGACGAGTCATGTCGCACCGCCACATCGCCTAGCCTTATCTTCTCCGGTATGGGGCCCCCTAACAGGTCTCCTCTGATTGGTCCTCTCCGCCTTTCTGAGCGCTTGCGATTATCTCGAACCATCTTCGCCCAGGCTCTGCCTCGAAGCGGCTAGGAGCGGTCGTGAACCGGCTCGTGGCCAACGTCCCCGGGAAGATCGTGGCCCAGCGATGTCGTGCAGGCACCAGGCGCAGCTTGGGTCGCACCCACCTTTGATCCACGGCGGGACGATGATGGCACTCGTTTCCAGCTGCAGGCAGTCCCACCAGCCTCGGCTGCGCGAGATAGCAAAACGTTGCGATACGGATGGCGATTCCTCATTGGCAGATGGCTGTGCGTGCGTGCGTGCAACCTTCGGCGCTTGTCATCCATCAGCCGGTGTGTCCGGATTCGAGACGCTTCCAAGCCCCTCTGCCATCTAATCGTAATCGGATGTGGGTCGTCGTACAGCCGCGGCGCCACCGCGAGGCAAGCCAAGGCAAGGCGCTACGCTATCGTTCCGCTCCCTTCCGACGATCCGGCGATGTCATGCGCCTTCGTGAGTCCCCGCCCCTGGCTGATAACGGAACCGATCGACGACTGTCTTGCTGGCACGCGACAGCCATGCGCTGTTATCGTATCTCGTCCTTTCATCGCTATCGTATCAGTCGCTACTCCAGGTCCGGAAGGTCTTCCGGCGTTGCGCATTGCTGCCTATCGAAAAGGCCCCTAGCAGCGAATAGTATTATAGAAGAAGACAGCCCGGTCTTCCCTACGAGGCGCTGCTCTTTCCTCTTCACGCAGCCACGACCCAACATCAGCGCAGGCCAAACACCGGACGCTGCTCACGACCTAGCCACACCGCCTTCGCAGTGACCACGCTCCCCATCACGACTTTCTGTTGACGCAGACCACCGTGACATCAGGCAAGCCACCGTACCACCGCCTAGACCAGTCTACGAATCGGAACGACCTCAACACAATGTCAGCCAGCACACCTCCGTCCAAGAGGACTCCATCGAGCGAGGATGAAAAGTACGACCTCGAGATCGCCGAGGCGATCCGCAACGCGCCCACGACGGCGGGCAACGGCGGCGGTGCGGACGCGCATCCGGGGATGGCCTCAATGCTCCGCATCGGCACCAACACGGGTGGCGTGGTGACATCGGAAGACTACATCACCGACGAGGAGCGCGAGATCAAGGAGATGCACGCACATGGCTACCACAAGTTCAAGTGGAGCTCGCTCTGGAGCCGCGCCGAAGTCAACCCGCTCAACGGTAAGTGCGAGCCGTGCCGCACCGCCTCTCGATGAGCTCACAAGCTCACGACTGACGGCCCCCTTCCACCGTCCCGTCCCCCTGCATCCGCTCGAGCAGGCAAGAGCTTCACGTTCCCCTTGCTACGCTTCTGGGATCCGTACTCGACCGCCTTTTGGTTGGCGACGCTTGGCTTCTTCGTCGCCTTCTTCTCGTGGTTCGCCTTCAGCCCGCTCGTGCCGGAAGCCGTCAGGGACGACCTCAAGCTGACGAGCGACCAGATTGTCAACTCCAACATGGCCTCGCTCGGCGGCACCGCCATCGTGCGCCTCGTGGCGGGACCGGCGTGCGACCGGTACGGCCCTCGCAAGGTGCTCGCCGTCCTCCTCATCCTCGGTGCTATCCCCTCGGGCCTCGCCGCGCTGGTGACCAACATCAGCGGACTCGAGGCGGTGCGTTTCTTCATCTCGATCCTCGGCGGCACCTTTGTGCCTACGCAAGCATGGACGACGACCTTCTTCGACAAGTCGATCGTCGGCACCGCCAACTCGTTCTCGGGCGGCTGGGGCAACCTCGGCGGCGGCGTGACGGTGGCCGTCATGATCGGGCTGTACGAGCGGTACAAGAAGGCGGGCTACTCGAGCCACCTCGCCTGGCGACTCTGCTTCCCTACGGTGCCCGTTCCGTGCCTCTTGCTTGTTGCCGCCATGATCCTGCTGCTTGGCAAGGACCACCCGGCGGGCAAGTGGAGCCGCCGACACCTCTTCAGCGGCACGGCGATTGCCGTGGCCCAGGGAGAAAAGGTGACCCTCGACCAGGCCGAGGTGATGGCGCAGCAGCAGGCGACGAGGGACAACGAAAAGGGCGGCGCCATCGCACCCGCCAAGACGGCCGACTTCCGCCCTGCCGCCAACGAGGCGGGCGACCAGCCGGTGGCCACCATCGACACGGCCCAGTCTGAGCCGCTGACGGCCAAGAGCCTCGGCCGCATCCTGCTCGATCTGCGCGTGTGGATGTGCTTCAGCTGCTACCTCCTCACCTTTGGCCTCGAGACGGCCATGGACGCGGCGCTGCCCGGCCTGCTCACCACGCTCTTCAAGTCGAGCACCTTTACGGTCACCGACGCCGCCTTTGCCGCGTCGACCTACGGCCTGCTCAACCTCTTCGCCCGGCCGCTGGGCGGCATCGTGTCCGACCTGCTCTACGCGCGCTACGGCCTGCGCGCCAAGGTGCTGCTGCTGCTGGCCGCCGCCTTTTCGCAGGGCGTCTCGATGATCGGGCTGGGCTTCTACGTCAACAACGGCGGCGCCAGCGTGGGCGGCGTCATCGGCTTCATCGTCCTCATCGGCGTCACTGGCTTTGTTGCCAACGGGGCCTGCTACTCGGTCTACGGCCACCTCCGCCCCAAGAACGTCGGCGCCGTCGCGGGCATCGTTGGCGCCGGCGGCAACGTGGGCGGCCTGATGTACACCGGCATCTTCAAGGCGCTCGCCGGCTCCAAGCCCGCGGGCAACCTCGGCACCAAGTTCTGGGTGGCGGGCGTCGTCAACGCCGCGGCGGTGCTGCCCTTCTTCTTTGTGCCGCTCGGCGACGCCGTCTAGGCCGCCAGGCTCCCCGTCCGAGTTGATGACGGCGTCTGGTCCGCGATTTCGGCTCGGCTACTTTGTATGATAGAACGGATCCTCTGAGCACGGGAATGACAACGACCACGCATGATGATTCCATGAACGAACTCGAGGACAGGGCGTGATGAGAGCAGGGCAGGATGGCAGATGCATCGGCCAGGGCGGGTGTGCGGAACACGGGCATGTGTTGGAGGAGGGCTCCTCTCTGCACAGCCGCCGCCGCCGCCGCCGCCGCTCAAACATCCGCCCTGTGGTGGAAGCAGCAGCTGCCAGAAAGCGCCCCGATCCAGGCCCGGCTGACTGCCACCGATTGAGTCGTGACATTTTGGGAAAGAGCCCACCCGATGATTTTTGTGGCACGACCGCCCCCGATCTTATTTTTTTGCCGTGCATGAAAAGCCAAAAATTCCCACGCCCGCCAGGCAACCTGGAAGCTGTCGCCCGGCGCCCGCAGGGCAAGGTGGGCCGCTTGCCCTGGCTTCAGAAAATCTCAAGGCTCGCACCCCGGGGCGGCCCTGGCCGGGGCCCGGGCTGGCAGGCGCTGGCTTGGCTTGGCTGGCTTGGGTGGCTGGCTGGACCCACTCGCTCGCCGCCGGGCTGGCAGGCTGGCCTTGGCCGTGGCCGTGGCCGGGCGAGAGCGGCTGGCAACTCGAGTCCGACCGTGGCCGCCTTCCACCTTCCTCTCCTCTTCCCCCTGTCACGACCATCCCCTCCCCTCAAGACCCTCCTGTGAGTACGACCTACCCGACAGCCAACGACGACGACGCCACACCATCGCGAGGATCAAGACCAACCATCATACCCAGCGGCCAACTTTCGCCAGGACATTTCCCGGCTGACTTTTCCGCCCGACTTGTCCTTCGCTCCGAACCTTCACATACCACCTACCGACCGACCTTCGCGCCGACCCATACAACAGTCACAATGTCTCACTGCAAGGTGATTATCAGCTCTTTCGACTCGACGCTCGGAGGGTGAAAGGTGGAAGGATGGAGCAACGCCAACCGGAAGGTGGAATACGGCGTTGCAACCGACTTTGAAGATCTCGCCCAACCCGGTGCACATCCCGACAGCCTCGCCTCGATACTCTGCCATCCACGGCTCCTCGGGAAGCGGAGGGCACCGTGCGATGCTCTCCCTCAAACCGGGCTAGGCGACGGAGGCAGCGGCACCGGGCCGGGATCAGGAGATCAGGACAGGTGGCAGGACCTGGACAGGACAATCGGAAGGGCGTGTTGGAATGCGAGCAGACACTAGGGTCTTCTCGCGCCAGTCGTCACCCGCCCCTCTCTGGCGGATCTGCTAGGACACTGGACCCGGGGATCAGGGTCAGCTCGAGACACACTGGACAAGGCGGATCACGGGACGACTCGAGGGGAAGTTGGCAGAGTCGAAGGTCGAAGGCACGCAGGGAGGGCAGAGGCACGCTCAGACCGCCACAGCGCGGTCGAAGGCTCCTTGTGTCCATGCTCCCGCACGCCGTCGACCTCGACTCGGCCACCTTCTCCCTCGCGTCTCTGCTCCGCTCCTCGCCCTTTTCTCTTTCCCCCGTGCACATCCCCGTGCCCAGTCTCCGAAAGGATCCCGCAAAGGAGGGGAGAGGGGACGACGGAAAGACGAGAAGGCAGCCTTGGGTGCTCTAGGTCGATGTGCAGCAGCATTGCTGACACAGCCTGGCATCCGCCGTTTTCTCCCTTTTTGTCTTCCCCTCGATCCCTCCTCCTACTCTTCTCCCCCCGTTCCCGTCACTTCTCGACACACAGTACGAGCACCCCCGTCACGGTTCGCTGGGTTTCCTGCCCCGCAAGCGTGCCGCCAGGCACCGCGGAAAGGTTAAGGCGTGAGTATCCGTTGCGCGCGCGAACAAGCAAGGGACGCTCTGCGATCGCCAATCTGCCGATCAAGCGGCTGACCCTGTTTCCTATCCCCTCGCCTCTTGTCAATCTCGCTCCCTCGCCTACAGCTTCCCCAAGGACGACCCCAAGAAGCCCGTCCACCTGACCGCCATGCTCGGCTACAAGGCCGGCATGACCCACATTGTCCGTGACCTTGACCGCCCCGGTTCCAAGATGCACAAGAAGGAGATTGTCGAGGCCGTCACCGTCATCGAGACTCCCCCGATGGTCGCCGTCGGTGTCGTTGGCTACGTCGAGACCCCCCGCGGTCTCCGCTCGCTCACCACCGTCTGGGCCGAGCACCTCTCCGACGAGGTCAAGCGCCGCTTCTACAAGAACTGGTACCGCTCCAAGAAGAAGGCCTTCACCAAGTACGCCAAGAAGCACTCGGAGAACAGCGGCTCGTCGATCACCCGCGAGCTCGAGCGCATCAAGAAGTACTGCTCGGTCGTCCGTGTCCTTGCCCACACCCAGATCCGCAAGACCGGCCTCAAGCAGAAGAAGGCCCACCTCATGGAGATCCAGGTCAACGGTGGCTCGGTCGCCGAGAAGGTCGACTTCGCCAAGGAGCACTTCGAGAAGACGTTCGACGTCTCGTCGGTCTTTGTCCAGAACGAGACCATCGACATCATCGCCGTCACCAAGGGTCACGGTTACGAGGGTGTCACCGCCCGTTGGGGCACCAAGAAGCTGCCGCGCAAGACCCACCGTGGTCTCCGCAAGGTCGCCTGTATCGGTGCCTGGCACCCGGCCAACGTCATGTTCACCGTGGCGCGCTCGGGTCAGGACGGTTACCACCACCGTACCGAGATTGGCAAGAAGATCTACCGCATCGCCAACGGCAGCGACGAGACCTCGGCCTCGACCGACTTCGACACGACCAAGAAGGGCATCACCCCTCTCGGCGGCTTCCCCCACTACGGTGTCGTCAACCAGGACTTTGTCATGATCAAGGGCTCGTGCCCCGGTGTCAAGAAGCGTGTCCTCACCCTCCGCAAGTCGCTCCAGGTCCACACCTCGAGGAAGGCCCTCGAGAACGTCTCGCTCAAGTGGATCTCGACCTCGGCCACCAACGGTCACTCGTCGTGGCAGACCAAGGCCGAGAAGGAGAACTTCCTCGGCGTCCGCAAGATCAAGGCCCCCACCGCCTAAGCGGGCGGGTCTCGTTAGCCCCACAGCGCTTGGCTCTCCAAGTCACGCTACCTCACCCAACCCCAAAAGAAGACGAGCACACACGTGTCTTGTGTGCGCGGCTCCTCTCCCTCTCTCTCTCTCTCTCGCATCCCTACCGCTGCTTCTCTCTCTCCCCTATGCCATCCCCCTTCACGCACGTTCTCTGTACTATCTTCACACACACACACTCATCACCACCGCGGCGTCGCACTCGGCGTGCTGTCGCCACCCTCATGCATGCATGGCAAAAAGGAAAAACCCCGAGAAAAAAAGCCCAGCGGGGATGCCTCCCGCGAGAGTGTCCGGGGGAGAGAAACCATCATCGCCTCCCATACCCGCTTCCAACCGTGTGACGGTGTGTGTCTGATTCTGTTTCGCGAGTGATCTTGGAGAGCATGAGGGGCGATGATGGCGGTGGTCGTGCGCCCATCGAGCCGATGTTGGACGGTTGGGATAGCAGGCGTAGCGTGGTGTGGCAGGCCTGGCCAAATCGATCACGCGCGGCGGGGCTGGAGCGATGCGGATCCGAAATTCGGCGAGCGGGGCGCGGGGGCCAGAAGCCCACCCGGCCGGCGCTGCACCTCCGCATTTCGAGGTTGGCCCCCTCGACCTCGGCTTGCCACGACCTCATCGCTCGCACTCCACCATCGCCGTACCCCTTTCCCAGCCGCCAGTCGTAAGACCAAATCTGCTACCCGTCCTCGTGAGTTCTTTCCGTGCTGCGAGCAACGAGGAGTCAGGAGGAGGAGCGGCGGTTTGAAGAGTACGAGTGGGCACGACGTTCTAACACCTCGAGATCCTCCGTTCCTCATCTTCAACCCCTACCCGCTCGCATCCCGGTCCAACCAGACCAATCTCGGCTCATCCTCATCCTCACCACCTCCATCGCCGTACAAGCAGCTTGAAAGGTCCCCACCAGGCCGCGCGCTCGCACACGACCCAAGATGGCATCCAAGTTCTACACGCCCGCCTACAACTTCCACCCGCACCAGCCGGCCTTCAAGCACCGATGGGGCGCCAAGCTCCTCGGCGCCACCATGTGGTTCTGGATCTTTTACCGCGCAAAGCAGGACGGTCCCGTCCTCCTCGTAAGTCACCCCTTCCCCTCATCATACCCCTGCCTACACGGTTCGTCCCAGGTTGTACCGCGATGCATGGAACTCATCGTTCCGTACCTCTCCCCTCCAACGACGACGATGATGATGGACAAACAGGGCCTGAGACATCCTTGGGACGGTCACCATGGTCACCACGATGAGGCGCACGGTGATTCCCACCACTAGACACGTCCCCTCCCCCCAACCCTGCCCTCGAGGAGAGGAAGTGGGAATGAAGGCAATCCGATGATCATCTCTCTCTGAACCCGCGATGCATCCGAGGCTCTCCCTGCCCCACGCTGGTCCAGCACGCACAACCGATCCAGCGCGCACGATGACGAACGCCGAAGAGGAGAAAGCGTGAGAAGCGGGCCGCCAGAAACCGAGCTGCGATGGTATGCGTAGAATTACACGAGACGGCGATGGAAGATAGCAAGCACAGAGGTGGGAAAGGGGAGCGGCCGCCATCGACATCGGGGGCCGGAAAGCGGGTGGTAAGAACAGGGATACAAGTACACGCCGGCCATGGCATTGATCATCAGCGTCGCGCCGCGCCGCGTTGCCCACTGCTTCGCTTCGCTCTGCTCGTCGTCTTGGTCCTGGTCCTGGTCATCAACCGAGACCGAGCATCCGGACGCCTTCGTCGACCTCTTCGCCCTCGAGCTCGTCGTCGTTGCACCCGCCCGGATCGAC